GATACTAGTAAAGACTTACTTGTATATTGACAATAACTGTATTAATAATAGCAGACACTCACGCACAGAATTTTAATTATTGTAAAATTTTTTGTACTCAATGATGAAGTACTAAACTGTTGTGCAACTTTAAAGTTTAAATCTATGACAAAGACACACTTTAATGTTGTATTGTGCACCAAATCATGAAACAGTTGGTATTTCATATTCAGCAGGTGGAGTAGTAGTCTCAGGCCCTGTTGTGTCATACACTGGCTCAACATTTAATCTATTAATAATAACTTTAAATAATAATAATAATTGTATTTATATAACTGACAGTGTTTGTTTTACTGTATCATATATTGGACAATCCATATTATCAGCAATACTGTGTGTGTGTATTTGTATATCTGATAATTGATAAGGTAACTAACTTTGTAGTAGATCTATAAGCTGGACTGCATTCCATTACAATGTCATTATCTAATTTTCTATGTAATTGTAAACTACTACAAATTTTAACATTAATTATAGTAAATAAACGTACCTCTTTTGATTGATATTAGTTCTTTTTCTATATACAACCAGTACCAGTATAATAATTACAGATACAGCCAATAGTGATGTTAATACTATCACACCAATTATCCATCCAGTAATAGTTCCTCCATTATTCACTAATACAGTAGTCAACACAGTAGTCATTGTATCAGTAGAACGAGAAACTATAAACATAAGCTGATTACTGATATAATTGCTTTAAAATAAATTGACAAATCATTTTAGATCTACTTGTTGATGATGCTAAACACTAAACAGTGATAGTGGAAGTTTTATTGTAATATTGTGATTATTTCAGTTACCTGTTAGTTCAGTTCTAGGTCCTTCATAATAAGTTCCATTTATTTCTATAGTCACTGACATCTCAAATGAGTAAATGAGGCATGAGTATAGTCCTGATACGACACTTTGATTTGTTTCATTGCTAACATTCATTGAATCATCATCAAACTCACTGCTGTAATAGATAGTGTAGTAACTGGCCCCTGGAATAGGTAGCCAATTCATTTGTATAGAAGTTGCATTGAGGTATTTGAGAGTAAAATTACCTACTTTTGCTATGAAAAAATCATAAAAAATATATAGATGTTAAATGTAGCTTTACCAATGTTAATTGTTTCTGCAGCCCATTCTCCTGGTCCAATACTAGTATATGCTCTCACTCCAATAGTATAACTAGTATTAGGTATCAATCCTACTATACTGTAATAAGTGTTAGTAGTGTTAGTTATATTGTATGGACCAGTACTGGTAGACTCTCTATATCTTATCTCATATACTGTAATGATACCATTAGGTATTGTAGGAGGATTCCATGAGACTTTTACTGTAGACTGATGTCTATTGGCCAATGTGAGATTAGTGATAATGCTTGGCTCTATAAATGTA